CTCAAAGCCACGTAGAGCGCATCGTAGGCTGCGGGCGGCAGGAAGGCGAGCAGTGGGTGGACTGGGTTCCAACGTGCCGCTCTCAAGGCGCGGGAGTACGTAGGCAACACCGGCTTCAAAGAAGCGGCTCCAGAGCACTCTTTACGGAAGTCAAATTGGGTTTCAAGAGTCGCTACATCCAGCTCTTCCTCTGCGGTGAGGAAAGTCACCATCTGGAAAGACTCAGAAAGGCAGGCTGCCGCATCTGACCTGGGATCGCCACGCCTCATTCGCCCGTCTTCGTGACCATGGATGCGGTTCGAAGACTGGTTGCGGAGATTCTTCAAATCGCGGGGCCTGGGCAGCTGGCAAACAATGGCGAAATAGCCACAATATTGCCATCGCGAAGCTGAAGATTATGTTGCGTGGCCTGCTGACATGCACTGATAAGGTCGACATTATCTTATGAGACCCGCCCGCCCCGGTCCTTAGGTTCCTCCACCCTCCTCCTCCTCTTCCTCCTCCACCTCCTCCGCCTCTTTCTCATCCCCGTCCTCCTCTTTTTCACCCCCGTCCTCTTCCTCCTCCTCCACCACCTGTTGTGCGCGCGCAGGGCATGTCGCTTGTCAAGGAGGAGGCCGAGGGGTTTCTCAAGGCCGAGGCGCGGCACGGGCCCCCCGCCCCGGCTTCGGGGGCGACGTCAGAAGGGAACAAAATCAAGGGCGGGGCTCGAGGTTTTCGAGGTTCGTGGGTTTCGCGGGCTTTGGTTTTCGTCGGCCCTCGGCGGTTGCCAAGCCCCGGGGTGCATCCCACCAGCTGCGCCTCGCCGGGGTCTCTCCGGGGGTGGCCAGGCTGCCCCGAACGGCCACCGGAGGCCCGAGCCATGACCCGAAAGTGGGACGACGATCAGCGCAGCTCCAGGGGGGGATTAGGCTCAGCGGGGAACGCATCGACCCCCAATCGCCCACCGATCGCCGATCCCAGACCCCCGACGTCGTGATTTTTTCATGACGTCGACCCCCAGAGGTCTGGACCCTTTCCCCGGGACCGGTTTTCCATCCTGAGTCGTTTTTTGACGCTCCCGCGGCCCGGTGAGGACCTCCAGAGGGCGAAAATAATAAAAAACCTTCCGTCTTGATTTTTTCACGACGCGAGGTGGTCTTGCATAGGGGCCCCATGGCCCGCCCTCCCCAGGAGCGTGCGAGCTCGCTGTCGGGGACCTGTCGCCGATCCACCGGCGATGTGCCGCCGATTCCAGGTCGGCGCCCCCCTCCCCCCCGAGCCGGTCCCCCCGTGACGTCCCCGTCCGGGCCACGAAGCGGGGCGGACGGAGGAGGAGGAGGAGGAGGAGGAGGAGGAGGAGGAGGAAGAGGAGAAGGACGACGACGACGACGACGACGACGACGACGAGGACGACGACGAGGGAAGAGAACGAAGAGGACGAGGCGGACGAGGACGAGGAGGACGAGGAGGACGAGGAGGACGAGGAGGACGAGGAGGAGGAGGAGGAGGACGAGGAGGAGGAGGAGGAGGAGGAGGAGGACGACGAGGAGGACGAGGAGGACGAGGAGGAGGAGGCGAGGGCTTCCCGCGGAGTTCCGATGATTTGCAAGCCGTGCCAGGATTCTGGCGTTGACCTGGGTGTCCCTGGCCCGGGCAGGGCGTACCCAGGATTTCCCGGGGAGGCCCAGGCGGCCTCCAGGGCAGCCCCAGGGGCTCCAAAATGGTGCGGGAAGTCGGGGGCACCTCGGGCCCGGGACACCGTTGGCCATCTGGCAGCCCCCGAAAGTTTTGCCGGCCACGTGCGGGGGCGGTCCATTTGAGGACGTCCTGCGAAGCTTGGCGGCGCACATTGGGGTGGGGGAAGAAGGAGGAGGAGGAGGAGGAGGAGGAGGAGGAGGCGGAGGAGGAGGAGGAGGAGGAGAAGGAGGAGGAGAACGACGACGACGACGAGGACGAATACGAAGAGGAGGAGGAGGAGGAGGAGGAGGAGGAGGAGGAGGAAGGAGGAAGGAGGAAGAAGGAGCAGGAAGAAGAGGAGGAGGGAAACGAACAGAAGGGGGATGGCCCTGTAAAGAGGCGGGGGGCGGGGGCCTTTCTCAGAAGGCGAGGGTTTTCCTGGGGGGGCCCAGGGCTCTCCGAGGGGGCCTCTTCGACGCCGGGGTGGCCTCTACCAAGCCTCCTGCCTCCCCAGAAGCCCTCCGTCTTCGTGGAAGGCAGCCTCCCCCCCTTCGCGCCACCTCGACCCTGGCGCCACCCTCTCGTGCCATCCTCGCGCCACCTCATACCCATCGGTCGTTGAGAGTAGGTATATCGACTGTAAGCGCCTTCCTACTTCAATGATCGAGCGGCTTCACCTTTTCCACCATCTTAGGGGGCGGGCGGAACCCAATAGATTTTGAACGTTTTCCTACTTCATGTTTCTACCTACTTCTTCCGACCGATGGGTACGTGGAAGGCCGCCACCTCCGTCGCGCCCCCGTGCGCGCCGCCGACAAAGTTTTGCAGGGCGCTCAGAAGGTTCAGGCGAAGGTCAGGCCGATGGGGGCGAGGAGCCAGGTGCGGCGTCGGCGGTTTTCTCTTTTTTTGTTATCTCTCTCTCTCTCTCTCTTTCTCTCTCTCTCTCTCTCTCGACCCACATATATATATATGTATATGAATATATGTCGTAGTAGTAGTAGTAGTATTAGTAGTAGCAGTAGTAGTAGTAGTAGTAGTAGTAGTAGTAGTAGTAGTAGTAGTAGTAGTAGTAGTAGTAGTAGTAGTAGCCGTAGTAGTCGTAGTAGGTAGTAGTTAGTCGTAGTGTAGTAGTAGTAGAGTAGTAGTAGTAGTAGTAGTAGTAGTTGTAGTTAGTAGTAGTCGTAGTAGTAGTTAGTAGTAGTAGTAGTAGTAGTCAGTAGTAGTTAGTAGTAGTAGTAGCAGCAGCAGTAGTAGTAGTAGTCGTTAGTAGTAGTAGTAGTATAGTAGTTAGTAGTAGTAGTAGATAGTAGTTAGTAGTAACAGTAGTAGTAGTAGTAGTAGAAAAAAAAAAAAAAAACAGCTCCAACAGCAGACACAGCCAGCAGAGCATCAGAGCACAAAAAAAAAAAAAAAAAAAAAAAAAACATCTAACCTTCCAGCTAGCCTCAAGCCAGCCCCCAACCAGCGCAGAGCAGCAGGCAAGCAGCAGCATGTAGCAGTAGCAGTAGAGTAGCCGTAGCAAGTAGCAGTAGTAGTAGCAGTAGTAGTAGTAGTAGAAGAAGAAGAAGGACCTCGAGGGAGGAGGAGGGGGAGAAGGAATGGCCAGGGGAACGGGGGGCGGGGTCCGAAGAGGGAAGAAAATGGAGCGGGGGGAGGAGGGAAGAGGGAGGTCGGAGGAGAAAGGAAAACGGGGAAAGGAGGGAGGAGGGGAGGGACGAGGAGCAGCAGGAGGAGGAGGAGGAGGGGAGGGACGAGGAACAGCAGGAGGAGGAGGAGGAGGGGGAGGAGGAGGCGCAGGAGAGGGAAGAGGGAGGGGGTGCCGAGGCAGGAATGGGGGGGAGGGGGAGGGACATGGAAAATGAGGCGAATATCTCCACCCCTCCTCCTTCTCCTCCTCTTCCGCCTCCTCCCTCGCCTCCTCCTCCTCCTCCTCCTTCTCCTCTGCCTCTCCTCTTCCTCCTCCTTCTCCTCCTCCTCCTCCTCCTCTCCTCCCATCCTCTTTCTCGAGGATTTTCCAGGGCGAGTGTTTTCCAGACTTGGTGCTGCGGCATGAATGGCACGCCCAGGGGTCCTTCGTCTCTCAAGGGGGCCCGACCAATAGTGAAAAGGAATGCGTGTAGAGACGCATGGCTGACGCATCATTGGCTTACTCCGCTCCTCCTAACGCTCCTCCTCCTCCTCCCTCTCCTCTTCCTCCTCCTCCTCCTCCTCCTCCTCCTCCTCCTCCTCCTCCTCCTCATGCTCATCCTCTTATGCTCTCGTCTTCCTCCCCCTCCTTGGACGAGGATGGTTTCGACGCTTCGCCACGGGCACTCAAATTGAGGCTTCTGAACCCTTCGTCAGAGGACACTGAGAAATCGTGGGAATAAGTGAAGTGCATTGTGAAGAACGTAGACCCCACGCACTCTTCGAGACCGTTAACTATTATTCCTGCTCTGATGGAGTTGTGTTTGGCTTGTCTCATGGAGCGTGGGAAGACGTGCTCGACAACCTGAGCCAGGCCCGGGTTGCCTTCCGGCCCACACGACAGGCGCTCGATGTTTTGTTCTTCCTTTAGGAAGTTGATTGACAAGCATATTGAAAGGAATGCCGTTGTTCCGCCCATCTACGTGCTAGACGGGGGCACTTTCACGGCGCACGACACAGCCAGCCAATGCGTCGGTATCCAAAGGCTCTTGAAGTGAAACATTTCAAAGATAACAGTGGCAGCGATTTGCCGCGAGATCTGCAGACTAGTGGCATGAGTTGTGGCGGGCGCTGTGCGCAGCGGAAAGATATCTCGAACGCGCTCGTTGTGTCAAGGTGGCCCCGGTGTTCCGAAGATTCACGACCTAAATCGAAATTTGAACATATGTTTTGTACCAAAACGAAGTGTCGAAGTGTATTGTCAGAAGTACGTGGCAAGTATTACATTGGCAGTCCTACACCGACACCAACGATTTCTTGCTCTTCCTCTTCTTCCTCCTTTCCCGCTCCTCCAAAGCCTCTTGCGTGTCTCGGTTTTCATGGTTTCTGGGCAAGCTCGATTTCAAGGGCCGGGGCTTCACCCATTTGGTCTTAGTTAGGCCCGGACGGTTGTCCGCAGTGGTGGTCGGTCGGTCGGTCGTTCGTTCACCTCTTTCCCTTCCTCGTCCCTTCTACTCCTTCCTCTGACTCTTCCCTCGTTTCCTGTGCAACGGCAGGACCTATCCATCTCCCTGGAGCTGCTTCCCGGCATCGTGCGGCGGAAGTGGATCGAGAAGAAGCGCAGGTTGCAGAAGATCGCCTCGGAGGCAGCAGGGCGTCGTTGACGACCACGACGATCATCATGATGGTGGCGAAGGGGGGGGAGGAGGAGGGGTGAATGGGGTCGGGGATGAGGACCAGGAGGGTGAGGAGGACGAGGAGAGGAAAAGGGCGAGCAGGGCGAGGGGGCCCAGGAGGACGAGGATGAGCACCAGGAGGACGAGGGGGGCTGCAGGAAGAACAAGTGCAGGCTCCTGGAGGTCGGAAGGGAGAGAGGGAGACAAGGGGGAGAGGGAGATGGAGAAAGAGAGAGAGAGATCGGGGAGGTGGAGAGGGGGAACGATCGGAAGCAGGGTCAATCTTCGAACGGTCGAAGAAGAGCACAATGCATGAACATAAATGCTGGCTTGCGTGAACCCTACACTGGTTCTAGCAATATATGCTGTGCAATCTATGCGGGACACTATATGTGGTGCACTCTATGTGGTTCAAAATATGCAGTGCCATATATGTGGTGCTATCTACGTGGTGCGAGCTTTATTGTGCAATCTAGGCTGTACAGTTATGTTGTACAACCTATGCGGTGCAAACTACGCTGTGCAATCCATACATGTACATATATATATACATATATATATATGTTGTTTGCCCTATGGTGTACAATGAGTATGGTGCGATCTATATGGTGCAATGTGTGTTGCAACGGATGTGGTACAATGTAAGCGGTGAAACCCATGATGTACAATATGTGTTGTGCGACCTATATTGTCCAATCGATATCATGCAATCGATGTGGTGCAGTATGTGTAGTGCATTACAAGTGGTGCAATGTATTTTGCACAATCTATGTGGTGCAATCCACTCTGCTGAACTTGAAGTCGTCATCTCCACTGCTCGCGCAAGCATCCCACCCACCCACCCGCAATTTGGTTTGCAAAACCTCTTGAGACCGACTACGACGACACCGACGACAACGACTAGGACGACACCGACGACGTCTCCGACGACTTCGACGACGACAACGACGCCGACGCCGACGAAGACGACGACGACGACGACGACGACGCCAACGAAGGCGACGACGAGGGAGGAGGAAGGACGACGACGGCGACAACGACAACGACGACAACGACGAGGGAGGAGGGAGGACGGCGACGACGCGAACGACGACGAAGGAGGAAGGACGGCGACGCCGACGACGACAACGACGAGGGACGATGGAAGACCGACGACGACAACGACGACGACGGACGGCGACGAAATAGAGGACGGACGACGAGGACGCCGACGACGACGACGACGACGACGTGGGAGGAGAGGAAGGACGACCACGGAAACAACGACGACGGAGAAACGACACGACGCCAAAGAGGAATCATGTACTCGTGAACTCGAGAAGGACGGAGGGGAGGGGGGGGGAACCGGGGGGGGGGGGAAAAAAAAAAAAAGGCGGACGGACGACGACGACAGCGACGCGGGAGGAGGGAGGACGGCGACGGCGACGACGACGACGACGCAAGAGCGCGCGCGCACGCTTTTGTTGAAAATCCGTGTTGCGAAACCTTGGGTGTTTGTAGGTTTTTTGGACGCGCGATTTATTGAAAATTTTTTTTTCTCCCCCTTTTTTTTTACCCCGAAACCGATGGGTTTTGAAGGTTTTCGGCGTACGCCCGCGACGACGCGCGCGTCTGCATTTCGTCCAATTTTTTTGCAGAGGATTCTCGCGACGGCACACGCGCAAGGGCGTTCGACAGATTTCGGCATGCGCGCGCGAAGCCCGTTTGGTAGCAGTTTGTGAACATCTTGAAAAACCTATGTTTTTTTATTAAAAAAAAACAAAAAAAAAAAAAAAAAAAAAAAAAAAAAAAAAAAAAAAAAAAAAAAAAAAAAAAAAAAAAAAAAAACGCAAGAGCTCGCGCGGAAGCTTTTTTAGCAAATCAGTGTTGCGAAACCATGTGTGTTTTGTATGTGTTTTGGAAACGCGATTGCGAAATCCTTCCAGCACCGAAGGTTTTTGAAGGATTCCGGCATGCGCGCGCGACGACGAGCGCGTGTGCACTTCGACCCATGTTTTGCAAGGGATCCACGAACAAGTGTTATGTTAGCACCAAAAATGTCACCGCATAGCGTTTTTAACAAGGGAAGCTCAGGGGTGGGGAACCCGGCCTGCCTGGGATGGTCTGATTTCATGTCGTGGCACCTAGGTTTTGCCATCGGTTGCAACCGGTTGCATTGCGAGCGATTGCATTGCAACCGATTTGATTGCAATGCGCAACAAAACCCAGGCGACGGGCGGCGACGACGCGGAGACGGGGTGGCGACGGCGACGACATAGCCGCCAGACCGACCACACGGCCCAGACGATTGGGCGTGACGAGGCGGTGACGGGGCGGCGACGGCGACGACATAGTTGCCAGACCGACGACACGGCCCCAATTCATTGGAGGAGAAGAAAAAACCCTTCAGCGCAAATTACCTAACAGCTAAGACTGATAGGTTTCTAGTGGTCTCAAAAGAGAGCAGCAGATGACTCCACAGGGGGGTCTGGGCGGGTGCCGGACAGGGTGCCGCAGAAGTCGTTTTAAGCAAACAGTCACACACTTCGTGCTCTTCGACCTCCCAGAACTCCATTCCCGGGCCACATTCTGAATGCCCGGAGCCAACTGTAGGCCACTTCGTGCTCTTCGATTCCCAGAACCCATTCCCGGGCCACATTTTGAATGCCCGGAGCCAACTGTAGGCCACTTCGTGGTCTTCGAGTCCCCAGAGAACTCCATTCCCGGGCCACATTTTGAATGCCCGGAGCCCACTGTAGGCCACTTCGTGCTCTTCGATTCCCAGAACTCCATTCCCGGGCCACATTTTGGATGCCCGGAGCCAACTGTAGGCCACTTCGTGCTCTTCAAGTTCCCAGAACTCCATTCCTGGGCATGATTTTGAATGCCCGGAGCCAACTGTAGGCCACTTCGTGTTCTTCTAGTTCCCAGAACTCCATTCCTGGGCCACATTTTGAATGCTGAGGCAGGCTGATGCTGCGGCCGAGCAGGCTGAGGCTGAGGCAGGCTGAGGCTGAGGCGAGGTGAAGGCAGACTGAGGACTGAGCTGAAGCAGACTTAGGCTGAGCTGAGGCAGGCTGAGGCGAGCTGAGCAGGCTTGATGCTGAGGCAGGCTGAGGACTGAGCTGAGGCTGAAGCAGGCTGAGGCTGAGGCAGGCTGAGGCTGAGGCCGAGGCTGAAGGCAGACTGAGGCTGAGGCTGAAGCAGGCTGAGGCTGAGGCTGAGGCAGGCTGAGGCTGAGGCAGGCTGAGGCTGAGGCAGGCTGAGGCTGAGGCTGTGACTGCGACTGCCGTTGCCGCTGCGACTGTCATCGCGAATGCCACTACGACTGCGAGAACAGCAGAATTCTACAACTGGATTTTCATCTGAATCTTAAGGGGAATGCTTTCAGATATGCTTCTACACATCGCTGTTAGGTTGCTTTGCCGGGATAATATGTTTTGGGGGAATTTTCCGAGGTGCGCAGATTTCTTGGATCGGCACGGGGACCCCTTTGGGGGCGCCTCCGGCGTCAAGGAGAGAGCCTCAGTTTGAAACGACACGCCTTCTTTCCATGTCGCTGGTAGACATGTTTACTTCTAGGATTTTTAGTTTGTGGGGAAGTCTCTGGCGAAACGCCCAGCCCGTCCTAACGACACGCCCGGCGGTGCGGCAGGGAGGATTTATTTGTTAGGGAGAGGGGTGTACCAGCAGGAGGTTGTCCGTCTCCGCCTCCTCCACTCCACGTCGTCGTCCCCCCTTCCCCCTCCCTACAATCCTCAACAACCCCTGCAATATCCCATGAGCCTCCCAAACCCCTCCTCCTCATCGCCCTCTCTCTGTCTCGGGCCCCCCCTCCTCCACTCTCCTGCCTTGCCCACCCCTGGAGGATGATGGCGACGAGACGAAGAAGCACATCCCCCAACTACTCCCTTCCTCTCACCCTATCCCTCCACCGTTGCCCTTGCACCTGGTCGTCCGTCTGGTCCCACTCTTCAACAACTCCTCGTCCTCCTCCTCCTCCTCCTGCTCCTGCTCCTCCTTCTATTACCCCTCCTCGTCCTCCTCATCCAATTATCCCTATTATCCCATCGTTGTTTTCGTTTGTCGTTGCGTCGTCGTCGTTGTCGTCGTCCTGCTGCTCCTCCTCCTCCTCCTCCTCCTCCTCCTCCTCCTCCTCCCCTCCTCCATCTCCTCCTCCTCCTCGTCCTCGTCCTCGCCCTCGTCCTCGTCCTCCTCCCCCCGGAGACCCAGCCCACAAGGTCCCTCACCCAAGCCGCGCCCGCCAGGCGTTCGCAGGCATGGAGCTCTACCCAGACGACCCCACGGTCCCCCACCGGGAGGCAGCGCCCCCCCCACCCCCACCCCGGAGAGCAGGACGGGCCAGACAGAGGATGAGCGGGAAGAGGAGGAGTTGGAGGAGAAGGAAAGGGAGGATGTCGCCCTCCTTCTCCTCCCCCTCCTATTCTTGACGCCCCACCAGCCCATCCAGAAACGATGTCCATGAGAGCTGACGGGGAGAGAGGAAGAGACACGCATAGTCAAACAGCGGGGGAGGCTTGGGAGGCTCCGTGGCCATATCAAGCCGTCTTGGAGCGGTCTTGGGGCCGTTTGGAGCATCTTGGGAGCCATCTTGAGCCAGCTTGGGCTATCTGAGCCATCTTGGAGGAACTCTTGGGCTCTCTGAGGCCGCTCGGGGGCCTCTTGGGGGCCTCCCGGGCGCCTCTTGGAGACCTCTTGGGGCTTCTTGGGCCGCTCTTTGGGCCCTCTTGGGAGCCTCTTGGGAGCCTCTTTGGAGCCCTGGAGGGCCTCTTGAGGCCATCTTGGGATCAATCAAAAGAGGGGTTCATTCATGTTGGTCCCCCTCCTTTGGGGGCCACGATCCTCGTGAGGCGTGTCAAAAATTTGCCCTCCCGGGGGCCGAAAAAGGACCCTCCGTCCAGGTCCAGGTCCAGGTCCAGGTCCAGGCGAGGGGGTAGGGGGAGGGGGCAAGACCCCCTCCCCGCCCGCAGGCCGTCTCGCTCACTCCCACCCGCCCCCCCAACATATTCAGCAGTCGTCTTTGGATGGGCAGCTATTGGGGGCCAATCGCCGCCGCCGCCGCCGCCGCGCGCCGCCCGCCGCCCGCCGCTGCCCGCCGCCGCCGCGCAGCGCCGCCCGCCGCGCCGCCGCGCCGCTGGCCGCCGCCGCCGCCGCCGCCCGCCGCGCCCGCCGCCGCCGCCGCCCCGCCGCCGCGGCCCCCCAGCCGCCGCGCCGCCCGCTGCCAAACCCACCAGCCAGCCTGCCGCCACCGCCGCCTGCCGCAGCCGCCGCCGAAGCCGCCGCAGCCGCCGCAGCCGCCTCCGCCACCAAGTGTACTGCTGTTTTTTTTTTTTGAAAGGGATGGTGGGGGCGCGATCGGGTTGGCCGCATGTTTCAGATTGAGTGGCGTGGTGGTTTATTGTTTTTTACAAGGGATGGGGTGGGAGTCGTGGCATGGTCCCTTGGTTGGCCCCCAGTCGCCTGGGGGAGGGTGGTTACTAATAGAGAACAGTGATCGAGACGCCCCCCCCGCCGCAAGCCGTCTCGGGTCATTCCCACCGCCCTCCCAGCACATACGTAGCACCGAGCTGGCCCGAGCCGCCTCATAGATTCAGCAGTCGCCGCCGCCCGCCGCGTCGCCGCCGCCCGCAGCCGCCGCCGCGCCGCCGCCGCCGCAACGCGCCCGCCGCCGCCGCGCCCCGCCCCGCCCGCCCGCCGCCGCCCCCGCTGCCGAATCGCCGCCGCCGCAGCTGCCGCCGCCGCCGCCGCCCCCGCCGCCGCCGCCGCCACCGCCGCCGCCACCGTCGCAGCCGCCGCAGCCACTGCCCCCGCCGCCGCCGCCGCCGCCGCCAAGTGTACCCTGTATTGTTTTTGAAAGGGATGGTGGGGGGAGGCCGCATCGGGTTGGCTGCGCATGCTCCGAATTTGGAGGCAGAGTGTGTTGCGCATGGTTTTTACCAAGGATGGTACGGGGTGCCCGCATTTTTCCTGGTTGGCCCCCAGTCGCCTGGGGGAGGGGGTGTATACTAATAGGGAACAGTGATAAACCCTTCTCCGAAGGGGAAGAAGGGGTTGCGGACGAGAGAAAAGACCCTCCTTAGCCCACTTGTCGTCCAAAGAGCTGGTGGGATTCGCTTCTCGTTTCCAAGTATATACGATGTTTCTCTATGTTCCTATCGCTCTCTCTCTCTCTCTCTTTCTCTTTCTCGGTCGCTGTATTTGTTTCTCTCTCTCTCTCTTTCTCGTTATCCTCTCTCTGTGTCCTTTCTCTCTCTCTCTCTCGCTCTCCTCCCCCTCTCATATTATGTTGTATATTGTGTTACACTCCTACATACAGACAGAGACAGAGACATAGACAGACAGACAGACAGACAAACAAACATACATACCGGCATAGACAAACACAGACAGATATAGACAGACATAGACAGACATAGACGGACAGACAGACAGACCGACAGACAGGCAGACTGGCAGACAGACAGACAAAGACACACACAGACAGACAGACAGACAGACGGACGGACGGACGGACAGACATACATGTATTGACCGTCGCTGTATTACTGCAGGGTCCCGGCCCTTTTCCGGAGTCTCTTGAGGCAGTTTTCAAGCCGGCTTGGGGTCCTTTGGTGCCGTCTTGGTCCTTCGGCAATCTTGATGGCCCTCGTACGCACAAGACCGCCAAGCTCAAGTGTCACGTTAATATCGATGCTCGTTGCGGATCTTGGACCGACATCGAGCAGTTCTACAACGCCTGGTCGAGCACGGACTATTGAAACCCCAGCGATGCCGCCAACCGGTTAGCCATGCTGTGGCCGGACGACCACAGCGGTGACGCGAGGAGGGCTGGTGGTTGGGCGCATTCGCCCGTCACCCCTAGGCGTCGTTAAGGCGCCGATTGGCAAGACCTACGTTCTTACCCTCCTCGATGCTACCGAATAGAAGCGTCTAATGGATCAGTTTTGATTACTATACTCATTGGAACCTGCTAAGCTAATTTCTACGCGCGCCGAATTCGTTGGTGGACATACTTGCTAAGCTGAAGTCGGCAGTTCAGCTTTCTTGGTCGTAACCCATCCAGGCGACGTTGATGTCTCATCCACCCTGGTCACCAAATTTAGTTACACAACCTCCTCCGTCACTGGCGCGGCCAGTACTGGCCGAGGGGGGTGCTAATCATAACGAGGGTGGCTGGGTCAGGAGAGTGGTGGTACTGTTGTTACCGAGCGTGCGTCGCGATCGACGCCGTTTGGCTCAAGTGCTTGATAATTAACATTCGTGTTTAGCGTGGCGATATGAGAAAAGGTCGCCATCGTTCCCGTGGCTACCCCCCCCGAGGATTTGCAAGAGTGAGCCGCCGGAGGGAGGAGGAGGGCGAGGAGGAGCAAGAGAAGCAGCAGGGAGGAGGGAGGAGGAGGGCGAGGAGGGAGGAGGAGGGCGAGGAGGAGGAGGAGGAGGAAGGCCGGGAGGGGGGGAAGGGAGGCGGAGAGGGGCCCCCCGGAGCCGCCCCGCCCCGTGGGCCGCCGCAGGAGCTGAGAAAACGTCGGCGACCGGGGCCCCAAGACGGACGGGGAGGGGGGGGGGCCGCCCCAGACGGGGGATGGGGGCTCGAGCCGTGCGCTGCGTAGCTGGATCGGGAGGAGGAGGAGGAGGAGGAGGAGGAGGAGGAGGAGGAGGAGGAGGAGGAGGAGGAGGAGGAGGAGGAGGAGGAGGAGGGAGGAGGAGGAGGGAGGAGGGAGGAGGAGGAGGAGGAGGAGGAGGGGAGGAGGAGGAGGAGGAGGAGGGGAGGAGGAGGAGGAGGAGGAGGAGGAGGAGGAGGTGGCCACGGGCGAGCCCTATACTCGGGGGTGGACAGAACCCCCAACAGTGACACGTCGATGAGTGCATTGTCCGTTTTCGGTTCTCGAGAGGGCGCCGCGGCCGTTCTTTTCCAGGCCTGCGCCCGCCAGGTTTGGGCCCGAGGTCGTGTTCACTAGACCGCGTTTTACTAGATGGAGGTCTGTCCATCCCCGATTGGAAGGGGGCGGTAAATGGGAGGATGAAGGTGCACCTCTCGCGCCGTGCCCTGTTGGGGCCCCAAGGGGTCGTATGGGGCCCAAGAGGGGCCACGAAAAGGGGACGTTTCTTCAGACGGCTCCGTCCCCAAATGGGGGCCCCAGCAACAGCTGGCGGCACCCCTCCTCCTCCTCCTCCTCCTCCTCCTCCTCCTCCTCCTCCTCCTCCTCCTCCTCCTCCTCCTCCTCCTCCTCCTCCTCCTCCTCCTCCTCATGCTCATCCTCCTCCTGCTCATCCTCCTCCTCCTGCTCCTCCTCCGTCTCCCCTGCATCCTCCTCCTCCCTCCTCCTCCCCCCTGCTCCGCTCCGCCCTCTCCTCCCCCTCCCTTGCCTCCTCGCCCCAGCCTCCTCAACTGAACGGCTCGCCCTTGTCACGTGGTTCGCCCTTGCGTTGGTGGTGTTTCCGGGGGGGAGAAGAGTTCCTGCGTCCTCCTCATCATCATCATCATCATCATCATCATCATCATCATCATCATCATCATCATCATCATCATCATCATCATCATCATCATCATCATCGGCAGCATCTTCAGCATCATCATCATCATCATCCTCGTCATCATCGTCATCATCAGCATCATCAACATCAACATCAACATCAACGTCATCGTCGTTACTATCAGCATCATCAGCAGCAGCATCATCATCCTCTTCCTCTTCATGCTCCTTCTCCTTCTCCTCCTCCTCCTCCTCCTCTTTTTCCTCCTCCTCCTACTCTGCCTTGTCGTCAGGGTGCACTGCGTTCGACTGCCAGCGTGCGAGCGGGTCGACAGGAACCCTCTGCTACGAGACAGGCATTTCGTGCACGGTTCCGCGCTCAGGCATCGAGGTCTGCCGCGGCGAGGGGGGTAAATCGTCATCCGTTCAGTTAGTACCAGGTGAACGACGGAAGGAAATCGGTTCGATTGCGCTGACATTCGCGCGTAAGCCCTCTCGTTTCTTGTGCAGCGTGCCGCGCTGGCGGCCCGCGTAAGCCACCGCGAAGGTCGCTATATCTTCGCGCGTGGATTTAACGAACATATTGAACATCCAGTGGTGTTCCTGAGAATTAGCCAGAGCGTGAGCGCAGTTGTTTTGAACATTAATGTTGCGAGACCATGTGTTTGTCCCAAGCGTCTTGTGGTGTTGGGTCCTCGCTTTGAAGAGACGGTCCCCGTGCTCCCTCCTTCCTTCCCTCTTCCTCCCTCCTTCCCTGCACCACCCGCATGCGTCACGCTCACCCAATTCGGCACACCCTTTACACGCTTCTTGGCCACATAGGGAGCTCCACCGAAGGCCCCAGCGCCACCGCCCGCACGCGTCACGCACACTCATGTCGGCATACCCATCACACGAATAGGGAGCTCCACCGAAGGCCCCAGTGCCACCGCCCGCATGCGTCACGCTCACCCAATTCGGCACACCCCTTACACGCTTCCTGGCCCCATAGGGAGCTCCACCGAAAGCCCGAGTGCCACCGCCCGCAAGCGTCACGCACACCCATTTCGGCACACCCCTCACACGCTTCCTGGCCCTACAGGGAGCTCCACCGAAGGCCCCAGTGCTACCGCCTGCATGCGTCACGCACACCCACTTCGGCGCACCCCTCACACGTTACGTGGCCCCACAGGGAGCTCCACCGAAGGCCCCAGCGCCACCGCCCGCACGCGTCACGCACACTCATTTGGGCATACCCATCACACGAAGAGGGAGCTCCACCGAAGGCCTCAGTGCCACCGCCAGCATGCGTCACGATCACCAATTTCGGCACACTCCTCACACGCTTCGTGGCCCCACAGGGAGCCCCACCGAAGGCCCCAGTGCCACCGCCCGCATGCGTCACGCACACCCATTTCGGCAAACCCCTCACACGTTGCGTGGCCGCATAGAGAGCTCCACCGAAGGCCGCAGTGCCACCGCCCGCATGCGTCACGCACACCCATTTCGGCACACTCCTCACACGCTTCCTGGCCCCATAGGGAGCTCCACCGCAGGCCCCAGTGCCACCGACCGCATGCGTTACACACACACACACACACACACACACACACACACATACATACACACACACACACACTTCGGCACACCCCTCACACGCTTCGTGGCCCCACAGGGAGCTCCACCGCAGGCCCCAGTGCCACCGCCCGCATGCGTCACGATCACCCAATTCGGCACACCCCTTACACGCTTCCTGGCCCCACAGGGAGCTCCACCGAAAGCCCCAGTGCCACCGCCCGCATGCGTCACGCACACCGACTTCGGCACACCCCTCACACGTCTCGTGGCCTCATGGGGAGCTCCGAAGCACCCCTAAGGAGCTCCACCGAAGGCGCTTGTAGCTGCGTTCGCATGCGCCCACCGCACTCATTTCGGACACGTTTCGCGGCACCACAGGGAGCTCCACCGACGGCCCCAATGGTTGCGTTCGCATGCGCCCACCGCACCTGTTTCGGCACACCTCTCACGCGCTTCGTGGCCGCATAGGGGATTCCACCGACGGCCCCAGTGGCTGCTTTCGCATGCGACCACCGGACAAATTCTGGCACACCCCTCACACGCTTCGTGGCCCGATAGGGAGCTCCTCCGAATGCGGTGCATACGACGACGGTGCTCACAACTGCATATTGTTGGGTTCTTCGCAATGCTGGTGTATACGTTTTCGGGGCATTCGGGTTTGAGTCCTTACGAAACCTAAGGTTCTAGAAGGATTCCGGCATGCGTGCGCCACGACGCGCGCGCGTGCAGTTCGTTTCTTCTTTTCAAGGGTTGTTCGAAAGCCTATACGTTTTAATAAAGAACAAGTTCGTTCGCATCGTGCTTCTGCAGAGGATGAGTGGGTGCGATACTGGCCTGCCTAGGATGGTACGCATCCATATTTATGATGGACGATGAGGCAGAATCCTGGAAAAAATGCAATACGCAAAATGGCACTGTTAAGTCCGGGGGGGAGATAGATCCGAATATTCTTTTAGAAAGAAGAATCAACGCGGCGCAACTCACCCTGCCGAGATTGGAGTTGTCAATTCCATGATTCGCGTCATTTGTCCCACCCACCCACCCGCAACATGGTTTGCAAAATCCCCGCGGCGGCGATTGCGATGACTGCTTGGCGCTGGCTGGCACATCGCTGCGGCCGCGCTAGCGCGCGCAGGCTCGCGCGCAGAGTGGCCAGCTGGTTTGGCGCGACCGACGCGGCCGCGGTGGCGCTGACCGCCGGGCGCTTCTCAGCACGTCTCGCAGGCCGCGCCGGCGAGCACGCGCTTCATGGCGGCGTGTCAACGGCAGACGCGATGCTGATAGTAGCGCTGCTGGCGGCGATGATGACAATGACGACGGCGCGGCCAGTGACTCACCAAGCGCGTTCCATTACCCACAAAATGCCTACTCGCAAACGTCTGACAAAAAACAGGTGTTTGCCTCGGTGAAAAATTATAATGGTTCCCCTGTGGCGGACCCAGGCCACTTTGCGAGTAGTTACTTTGCGAGATGTGGAACGCGCTCGTCCAGTTAGTGACGGCGCCGATGCTGCTCAATGACAATGGTGGCGTCCACGCGTTGGCCATGAAGGTTGTGGAAGGATTTCGACGTGCGCGCGCGAGCGGCCCGCACGGAGGGGTTTCGACATGTGCTCGCAGTCGACGCGCGCGAGTGGCCCGCATTGTGTTATTTGACACGGATCGCCCCCCCACCCACCCACCCACCCACCCCCAGCCCCCAGCAAACGCGCAAAAGTTTTCGAATGATTTCGACGCGCTCGCGCGGGGGGGGGGGCATGTTCCAATGTCACGAAACGGTTTGGGAAGTTCAGTGCGCATGAAAGTTTGCAAGAGCGCGCGCGCATATCTTGTTTATTGGGAGGAATCGGATTGCAAAACCAATCGCGATGGCGCGCGCATGTCAATACTTTCCTTGTGTTGTAAAGTGCTGATGTTTGAAAAGTGCTGGTGTTTGGCAAGCCAATGCGCGCACAGGATGGCATGATAGGGATGAGGGGGTGGGATAATGGCCTGTTTGGGATGGTATGGGGTACGGCATTGCTGTTAAGACAAACGATGGGGCAACATCAGATGTACATTGGACCCTCCCAGCTGGAAAAGGTAGTTTTTGTGGGGGGCAGAGATTTGCTCAAGAGGAAGGCAAGCTACGTGGTGCAATATATGTTGTGCATTCGACGTGGTGCACCCCACGTTGTGCAATACATGTTTTAGTGGAGCAGTTGATGTAGTGACAAGTATGTTGGGCATCTGTGTGGTGCAATGTGTGCTGTGCGGTTTGCGTGGTGCAATCTATGTCGTGCAATTCACTTTGACCGTCTTGAAGCTGTCCGTTCCACTGCTCGTGCAAACACCCCACCCTCCCACCCGCAACTTGGTCGCAAGACGTCCTATGACAAGACCGTGACGGTAGGTACCACATGGCACTTGGCCACGACAGCGACGCCCACGACGACAGCGACAACGACGACGACGGCGCCGCCGACACCGACTACGACGACGCCGACGACGTCTCCAACGACTTCGACGACGACGCCAACGACGACGACGAAGACGCCGACGTTGACGACGACGACGCCGACGACGACGACGACGACGATGACAACGCCGACGACGACGACGCCGACGACGACGACGACGACACCGACGACAACGACGACGACGACGACGATGACGACGACGACGTCGCCAACGAAGACGACGACGACGAGGACGACGACCACGTCGCCAACGAAAACCACGACGAGGGAGGAGGGAGGACGACGACGGCGACAACGACGACAACGACGACAACGACGAGGGAGGAGGGAGGACGGCGACGACGCGAACGACGAAGAAGAAGGAAGGACGGCGACGCCGACGACGACAACGACGAGGGAGGACGGAAGACGACGACGACGACGACGACGACGACGACGACGGCGACGAAATAGGAGGGACGACGACGAGACGCGGACGACGACGACGACGACGACGACGACGAGGGAGGAGGAGGAAGGACGACCACGGCGACAACGACGACGGAAACGACCACGACGCCAAAGAGGACGACGACGACGAACACGAGGAAAGACAGAGGACGACGTAGGCGACGACGACGACGACGCGGGAGGAGGGAGGACGGTGACGACGACGACGACGACGACGACGACGACGACGACGCAAGAGCGCGTGCGCACGCTTTTGTTGAAAATCCGTGTTGCGAAACCTGATGTTTTCTTAGGTTTTTTGGACACGATTTTGACACCTTTCCGAAGCCGATGGGTTTGGAAGGATTTTGGCGTACGCGCGCGACGACGCGCGCGTCGGCACTTCGTCCCATTTTTGCAGAGGATTCTCGCGACGGCACACGCGCAAGGGCGTTCGACAGATTTCGACATGCGCGCGCGCGAAGTCCGTTTGGTTGCCTTTTTGTGAACTGAAAAACCTATGGTTTTCTTAAGATTTCGCAAGAGCTCGCGCGTAAGCTTTTTTAGCAAATCAGTGTTGCGACACCCTGTGTTTTCGTATGTTTTTGGGGAACTCGTTTGCGAAATCCTTCCGACACCGCAGGTTTTCGAAGGATTTCTGCATGTGCGTTCGACGGCGCGCGCGTGCGCACTTCGCCCCATTTGTTGCAAGGGATTCGCGAAAAAGTGTCATGTTAGAACAAATTATGTCACCGCGTAGTGTTTTTTTACAAGGGAACCTCAGGGGGGAAACCCGGTTGGCCTGAGACATTGTGATTTCATATTTAGGATGGACATGTGGTCCGAATCATATGTGATTTACATAGGACGCGGGGGTAGTGATAACGCCGGGGGGGTAGAGTCTATTCTGTTTTCAGAAAGGAGAACCAATCATTTGCTCAACTTGAAGCGATCCTCTCCGCTGCTCGTGCAAACATCCCACCCTCCCACCCGCAATTTGGTCGCAAGATCTCTTAAGACCGTGACAGCAGGTACCAAATGGCAGTTGGCAGCGACACCGACGCCGACGACGACAGCATCAACGACGACGACGACGACGACAACGCCGACAACGACTACGACGACGCCGACGACGTCTCCAACGACTTCGACGACGACGCCGACGACGACGACGACGCCGACGACGACGACGACGACGCCGACGACAACGACGACGACGATGACGACGACGATGACGACGAGGAAGGAGGGAGGAGGGAGGACGGCGACAAAGACGACAACGTCGAGGGAAGAGGGAGGATGGCGACGACGCGAACGACGAAAAAGGAGGGAGGACGGTGACGCCGACGACGACATCGACGAGGGAGGAGGGAAGACGACGACGGACGACGACTACGACAAGGGAGGAGGAAGGACGACCACGGCGACAACGACGACGGAAACGACGACGGCGACAACGACGACGACGACGACGAGGAAAGAGAGAGGACGACGGCGACGACGACGACGACGAGGGAGGAGGAAGGACGGCGACGACGACGACGACGCAAGAACGCGTGCGCACGCTTTTGTTGAAAACCCGTGTTGCGAAACCTGGTGTGTTTGTATGTTTTTCTGTAACATTCGATTCTGAAATCCTTTTCCGAAGCCGAGGGTTTTGAAGGATCTCGGCATGCGCGCCCGACGACGCGCGCGCGTGCACTTTGTATTGCTTTCTGCTGAGGATTCTCACGACGGCACACGCGCAAGGGTTCGAAAGATTCCGACATGCGCGCGCGAAGCCCGTTTGGTAGTATGTTCTGAAGATGTTGAAAGACCTATGCCTTTCTTAAGCTGTTTCAGAAAATCAGGGTTGCGGAACCATGTGTTTTTATGTTCTGTGGAAGCTCGATTCTGAATTCCCTCCGAAGCCGAAGGTTGTTGAAGGATTTCGGCATGCGCGCGCGACGACGCGCGCGTGCGCACTTCGTCCCATGTGTTGCAAGGGATGGTCGAAAACGTATGATTTGTGTTACACGGGTGTGCGCGCATAATACGTTTTTGCAGAGGATGGCGGGGGGGGGGTCGATACCGGCCTGACTGGGATTGTCTGAATTCACAGGTAGGATGGACGCTGGGTCAGATCCCTGTGCGTTTCGCATCAGTTCACAGGGGATCTTGTACAGTCGGGGCGCTGAAGAAGGAACCCTTTTCGTTGGGGAGGGGTTCGGTGTTCCTTGATTGTTTCAAAGTTTGCCTCGGGTTGTCCTGCGGTTTTCCATCGGAAATCGAGGTTGACCTTATGGGAAAAAGGGGTCTCGTTCCTTATTTAGGGTTCCTTAGGTCAACGCCTCGACTGTAACCCTGGGGGGGGAGGGTGGTAGAACCTTTTGAGAAACAAAAAAAGAAAGGAGAATCCAAAGCGGCGGCGAGGCGGCGACGGCGAGAACATAGCCGCCAGGTCGGCAGAAAAAACAGACGACGGGCGGCGACGGGGCGGCGACGGCGGCGACAGCCAGGCGGACAGGCATGCCCAGACGACGGGGGGCATCAAGGCGGCGACGGGGCGGCGACGACGGTTATATAGTCGTCAGACCGACAAGTTGGCCCAATTCTTTAGAACAGGAGTACGAGCCCTGCGTGCAAGCTCTTTGTAGGAATGCAGATATCTCTATATTTATATATAGAGAGAGATAGAGAGAGAGAGAGAGAGAGAGAACAAACAAAAAGACGTCTGTGTATTCATGTGAGTGCGCGTCTGCACAACCATGCCTGCTTGCGGCCTTGCCCTTTGACCTCAGCCCCGTGTCCCTCGTCCTCCTTCCAAACTCCTCATCGTGATTCCTCTCGTCCTCCCTCCCCCTTTCCCTCCTCTCACTCTTCTGCCTCGTGCCTACCGCCTCCCAGATGGAGCTGGCAGGAGTGGAGCCTCAGCAGCAACAGCGCGGAGGTGCTCCGAGAGCTCGAAGGCAACAAGACGGTCGACAAGCCGGTGGCTTTCTACGAGGCGCTACGATGTGCGTCTCTTGCTCGCCGTCTTCCCCCTTCTTGTTTTGCTACCCCTCGTCCTCCCCAGCCTCCTGTCATTCCCCCCTTCACTCCAACGCTACCTCCTCGTACACCTTAAGCGATGCTTAAGAAAACTCAAATTTTCGGCCAGAGTCTCGATTATTCTTAATGTGTCAATGTAACTCCTAAGATTTGAATGGAAATTGTTGACGCTTCGCGTATCCCCACCAGCCCATCCAGAAACGATGCTCAGGGGAGTTAAGGTGATCAGGGAAGTCGGGGAGCATGCAGAATAACAAAGGGCGGGGGAAGCTGTCACAGACCCCGAGAGGGGGAGGATGGAAGAGGAGTCGTCGTCGTCGTCGTCGTCGGAGGAGGAGGAGGAGGAGGAGGGGGAAGAGGAGGAGGAGGAGGAGGAGGAGGAGACGGAGAAGGAGGAAGAATCGGAGGAGGAGGAGGAGGAGGGGAAGGAGCTTCTTGGGGGTCTTTTGAGGGCCTCTTGGAGGGCTTTTTGGGCGCCTTGGGGCATCTTGGGCGCCTCTTGGGACCCTCTTGAGGCGCTCTGGGGAGCCTTCGGGGCGCTTTTGGGGCCATCTTGGAGGGAGTCGATCAAACAAGAGGGGGGGTTTAATTAGCGCCCCCCCTCGGAAGCCCCTAAAATCGCCTCTTGGACCCCTCTTGGAACGCTCTTGGAGTGCTCTTGGGCGCTCTTGGGGCCGTCTTGGGGCTCTTTTGGGGCTCTCTTGGGGCCCTCTTGGGCCATCTTGGAGCCATCTCCAGGCCTCGGATAGCCATCGGAAGCGAAAAGGCGAGAAAGCAAAAATCATTGATTTTCCTTAGGTTTTGGGACGATTTTGGCCTCTTCGGGGCCTCCTTGGGGAGCTGTTTGGCCACTTGGAGTTATCTTGGGGCCGTCTTTGGGCTTCTTGGAACCATCTTAGGAGCCATCGTGAGCGATCTTGCGCTATCTTGAGCCATCTTGGAGCTCATCTTGGGTTCTCTGAGGCGCTCTTGGAGCCGTCTTGGGCCATCTTGGACGCTCTAACTACCCGCGGCCCCCCCCGTCCAGGTCCAGGGGAGGGGGTAGGGGGAGGGGTAAACCCCTCCCCAAGGGGGAAGAGGGAGGGGTGGAAGAGGATCTGTTCTAGACCACCTACGCCCAGAGGGCTGGTGGGATTTGGGGTTTTTATTCAAGTTCTGAGACTATGAATTTCTTAACCCATGATTTCTTAAGCATTTCGCAGGGTGTAGTCCCCGCCCCCCTCATCCTCGCCCTCGTCCCATGCCTCCCTCCTGGTCGACTGTGTCCTTCCTCGCTGGGCGCGTCGACGGCAAGGCTGCCAGTGATGCCCAGGATGTGGATCTTCGGAAGCATCTCGATCGCCTTCCCCTTGCGCCGGGGCCAGCGGATCACGAGCGTGAAAGAGCCGACTAGACGTAAGAGTGCCTTTTCGCCGGAGTGACCTTTGGTAAAGGGCAGGGGTAAAGAGAGGGACAGGGGTAAGGGTGATGAAGACATGATTGGGGGGAACGAACAATGACATAAGCATAACAAAACTCTGAGATTCGCGTGGACTTCTAGGAAAGAGAGGGACAGGGAAAAAGGTGATGAAGATATGATTGGGGGGAACGAACAACGACCTAAGCATAGCAAAAATCTGAGATTCACGCGGATTTCTCGGATCGGCGCTGGAACCCCCCTTCCCTGGCGCGCGGAGCGCGCCAGGGGCGGCGCCGGAGGCGCCGCCAGGGGGCCCCAGCGCCGATCCGAGAAATCCGCGCGGACCTCCGAGTTTTTAGGTTTATGTCATGATTCGTTCCCCGAAGTAAGAGAGGAGGGGGGGAACGGGGTGACCATTTACACTTCTGAGAGTCGGTGGGCCCCGCGGGGCGTTCGCCTTCCGGGGGAGCGCCGCCCGCAGCAAAACAAATGGTGCACATGGAGAGTTACGTGGAGGGGACTTGTAACGGGATGGCATGTTGCAGCATCGTTGTTGCTGGCCTTCATCCTCGTCATCCGCATGGTTGTCACCCTCTCGTCCTGCTGGTTCCTGTTTCCTCGTCATCCTCTCCCCCTCCGCCTCCCCCTCCTGCCTCCTCCTGGGGGAGACGAACCGCGACAGAACACAACAGGCAGACAGCGAGCGCCTACAGCAGCACCACCAGCGCCGACGGTAGCACCACCGACACCAGCACTGACACTTGCACCGAACAGCTCAGTCAACAGCACAGAGACAGCGACGACGAAATGGAATCGTGGGTTCACGTCCTACGAAGAAGTACCCCCGCCGCTGTTGCGCTTGCGAAGCGTGCACAAGTTGATGACTAGACTGATGCACATTTCAAACGCAAATGAACATTTGCAGTACACGTGGTCAACCACACGGCGTCCACAGATGGACGTTTCTGCGTAAGAGTTGGGACCCCAGCCTACACGACTCACGACCAGCTTTCGCAGACATGGAGGACAAAAGAAATCATGGGAAGGCGACGTCGTGTACCGCGAACGAACCGCGTACCGACGGCGACGCACGGTGGTGGGAATTGGAGCAGAACCAACAATGGGATCATTAAAGACAGTACGTGTTGCAGCGCATGTGTCGGTCCATGTATTCCAGCAGTTGTCCCCGCAACGATTCTTGAAGATGATTGCCCCGCTCACGTTGCATCCTGTCTACATGGACGCACCTGGCTAGTACGCCATTCAGGTCATCATCATCGCCATCGTCATCATCATCTTCATCGTCATCATCAGCATCATCATCATCATCATCATCGTCATCGGCATCATCATCATCATCATCATCATCATCAGCATCATCATCATCATACTCATCATACTCATCATTCTCATCATCATCATCAACGTCATCATCATCATCATCATCGTCATCGTCATCATCAACATCATCATCATCATCATCATCACCATCATCATCCGCATCGTCGTCAGTAGTATCATCATCAGCAGCAGCATCATCGGCAGCAGCAGCCTCAGCATCAGCATCATCATCATCATCACCACCATCATCATTATCATCATCATCATCATCATCATCATCATCATCATCATCATCATCATCATCATCATCATCATATCCTCCGATTTCTACTTCCTCGACTCCGATTCAGTCTTCCGACCTCCGTTGCCTCATTTTATCGACTTCCAGCCGCCCGAGTTCTGGCCCCAATACTCCGACACCCCACTTCACCTCTACCTGTCGACCTCCAGCTTCCGCCAGCCCAGCACCCCAGACCTCCAGCCACCAGCGTCCTCTTCCACCTTCACCTCCAACTTTCGAGCTCCAACCTCCGCCAGTACAGCAATCCGACTTTTTCTCTTGAGCATCCGGCTTTCCACCTCCACCTCCAACTCTCGACCTCCAGCCTACACGTACCAAATTTCCCAACCTTACGCTTCCAGTGTCGACATATCGCGTCCACCTCCACCTATCGACCTTCAGCTTCCGTGGGATCAGCACTCCGACCTTCAGCCCCCAACATCCTGCGCCCCTCTTCCACGTTCACTTCTTCAACTTCCAGCCTCCACGAACCAGGCACTGCAGCATCCAACCCCAGCGTCTGACATCCCACCTCCACTTCCACCTATCGACTTCCAGCCTAGACCAGCTCAGCACTTCGACCTCCAGCCTCCATCATTCGATTCCCCGAATCCACCACCACCTATCGACCACAAGCTCTTGCCAGCTGAGCACTCCGACCTCCAGGCTCCAACATGCGACGTCCCGCTTGCGCCTTTATTTGTTCGACATCCAGCCTCCGCGAACTGGCCCCTGCGGCATCCAATCTCCACCAATCGACTTCAGCGTATACCTGCTGAGCACTGCGACCGCAAGCAGCCACCAGCTGAGCGGTCTAACCCCCAGCCTCCAACATCCGACGTCCCACTTCCACCCCCCCCTCTCGACCTCCACCCTTCACCCACACGGCATTTCGACCTCCAGCCTTCAGCGTCCGACCTCCCACTCCCACCTCCATCCATCGAGCTCCGGACTACACCAGATCAGCACTCCGACACGCGATCGTTTTTTATTCATTGTTTTTCCGATCGGCGCGGGCCCCAAACAAAACCCCCCGGGGGTAGATCTTGGCTGTTTGTTGACGCCTGTTTCGAGCGGGTGGTGTCTCCCCCAGAGGCCGCACTCTTACAAACAGTCGCACTAAGCAGAGGTCCGGAGCCAGACCGCCCCCCTCCCCCCCCCTTTCGCCCAATGTCGAAGCGCCGAATACAAAAACGGTCCCCACCCAGCCTCCAGCATCCGACCTTCCGCACCACCTCCTCATCGACCACCAGTCGCCCAGGACGACTCAGGAGGCCTCTGGCCCTCCCGCGCAGTGCTCGAAGGGCCCAGGACAGGTCCCGCCGGACCGACACCGCGCGCTTCGCTCCGCTCCTCCTCCCCCTCCTCTCGCCCTTCCTGCTTCCTCCTCCTCCTCCTCCTCCTCGCCCCTGTTCCTCCCCCTCCTCCCACGCGAGGGACAGCCCTCCTCCTCCGCCTTCCCTCCCCCTCCCCCTGATGCCGTCCTGCTCCCACTGTCTCTTCTTCGTCTTCTCCTCCTTCTCCTCCGCTTTCTCCGCCTCCTCCCCGGCCCCCCGCAAAGCGCTGCGAGAGAGCAGGTGCCCCCCGCCGCGATGACGCAGGAGGCCGCCGACGGGCCCGCCCGACCGCGTGGCGACGGCGACGGCGACGGCGCCGGCGAGCGGCCAGCGACCTCCAGCGGCGACGGCGGCGGCGTCGTGAAAAAACACAGCAGGAGGTTTTTGGCCGTTTTCCCCCTCCCCTGAGATCTTGGCGCTGCAATCTGTGCACCATGGTCTGGGGCCCCAAGACCCTCACCGCTCGATGCGGCTCGAGACCTGGCGCGGGAAAGTTGGGGTCCGGGGCTCCGGTCGTCGTTTTTCGCCATGCTGCACTCTTTAAGCAGAGTCAGATCTGAGGGCCCGCGCCCAACACGGGCCCTTGGAGGCCCAGAGAGTGCCCGAGGCGCACGACGGCCTCGAGAGCACCTCCTCCTCCTCCTCCTCCTCCTCCTCCTCCTCTCCTCCTCCTCTCCTCCTCCTCCTCCTCCTCCTCCTCCTCCTCCTCCTCCTCCTCCTCCTCCTCCTCCTCCTCCTCCTCCTCCTCCTCCTTCCCCCTCTCGGAGAGGCGGGGGGGGGCATCCAGCCGCTGGCGCCCTGGGCGGGGAGCTCCCGTGGCCTGCTGGCCGAGGGTGTCCTCCCCCCGCTGCCCCCTCCGGGAGGCAGCGGGGGAGAGGGCACCTGCTCAGAGACCCGAATCATTAGGGGTAACTCGGGTCAGGGCTAATTCGGGTTCGTTTTTCGGGAATCCGAACCCGAGTTGCCCCGGGCCCGAGTTATCCTGGATAACTCGGGCGTCCAGAGCCCCGAATCATCAGGGATAATTCGGGTCAGGGCTAACTCGGGTTCGTTTTTCGGGAATCCAAGCCCGAGTTACCCCGGGCCCGAGTTACCCCGGATAACTCGGGCGCCCAACCTGCCGTGAGAGGGGAGGCAGCCTCCCCTCTCCCTCGGAGACGGGCAGCGGCACGAGGCATGCCCATCGGCCGTTGAAAGTAGATGATATCTCTGGGATTCCCAGATGCCAATCCGCTGTTGAGCGCCCTCCTGCTTCAAGGGTCGAGTGGCTTCTTCACCTTTTTCCGTCCTCCTTGGGGGGCGGACGGAACCCAATCTAATCTCAGCGCCTTCCTACTTCATGTCTCTACCTACTTCTTCCGACCGATGGGTACGCAGAAATTGTCGGAGCTCCGCGCGAATTTCTTGGATCGGCGCCGGGCCCCCCCGGCGCCGCCCCTGGCGCGCTCCGCGCGCCAGGGAGGGGGGTCCAGCGCCGATCCGAGAAATCTGCGCGGAGCTCCGAGTTATTATGTTAGTGTCGTGGCTAGTTCCCCCCAAACAAGTCCTTCCCCTCTGACTCCTCTCAGGCAGGCACAGGATCATCATCTACCCTGAGATCCGAGCGTTGCGTTTTCCCTCATGGCGTCTCGCTCATGACAGGGTTTGGATAGTGGTACTAGTACAAGAGGGCCACAGCAGGAGTCCCACAGCGTGGACTGGGAGCCCTAGACCGCCCGGTCCGAGGCGAGTAGAAGTTTGCACGCGGGTCTTGCCGAACATCTTTTCTATCCCAGATTCAGCGTGCATGATCAGGAAAGGTACAGTACTTGACCCGCCCACTGAGGTACACATTGCCGTGTCTTGACCTCCTATGCCTCGATCCGCCTCGTCACCTTTATTGCTGTTACGTGGGGTGCTTTGCTGGGGTAATCGGTCTCTGGAAGCCCTCGCTGGGCCATGGGCACCGTCTAAAAGCGGTTCGGGATGAAACAACAGTTTCGGGAGTACGATTAAATCCAGGCATCGGATGCGTTGGGATGGAGATGGGGCTCGCGTCGCTTCCCAACGACAGCTGTGGGCGATCAAAGAGGGAGAGGGAAAAGGAGAGAGAGAGATAGAGAGACATTGACAGGCAGACAGAACAGACAGACAGAGATAATCAGGAGAAGAGGACGACGACAAACACTTGAAGGGCTTGAGCCAATATTCAGGTGCACCCGTCTTGGCGAGCCCGTTGACCCTTTGAAGGGGCAGCATCTGTTTCAAGCATGTACATTGTCTCGGGCCATTTTTTGATTTGCGCGCGGGTGATCGTCTGCCGAACACTCCTGCCCGTGGCGCCGAAACGACGAGCGAGGGGCCCGAAGAAGGGCCGAAAGAAGCGAGGGACGGACCAGGACCCGAACAGAGCCGAGCGAGGGACCGACCCGAGCAAACAGGGACAACGAAAAATCGAGGGCCCGAAACACGCGATGCTGGCAAGACTGGTGAGACAATTTGATGCCCGCGTCCTGGCTCCTGGGCTTCCAGCCTCAACCTGCCAGGCAGCACATTATACAACAGACCAGCAAGGCGGCGGAGAGCCCTTCCTCTCTTCGCGAGCCTGGGCTGGGGGGGGGGGGCAAAAGGAGCACATAAAGGATGAGTGGGCGCAGGCGGTGCGGGTGCCTGCTTCTCAGCGCCTCTGTACCCACTCATCCTAAGCCTAGCCTATGTCCGACTGTAGAGAGAAAGCATAGACAGAGAGGCTGCACAGAAAACCCCAAGCGGCGGGCGGGCAAGAGTCTTCTCTCTTTGCGAGCCTGGCCAGGGGAGGAATGACAAGAGCACAGAAGGGATAAGTGGGCGCAGGCGGAACGGGTGCCTGCTTCTCAGCGCCTCTGTACCCACTTATCCCAAGCCTACCCTACTGTCCGACTGTCCAACTGTAAGAGAGAAAGCACAGACAGAGAGGCGTGCACAAATCCCCAAGCGGCGGGCGGGCAAGAGTCTTCTCTCTTTGCGAGCCTGGCCAGGGGAGGAATGACAAGAGCACAGAAGGGATAAGTGGGCGCAGGCGGAACGGGTGCCTGCTTCTCAGCGCCTCTGTACCCACTTATCCCAAGCCTACCCTACTGTCCGACTGTCCAACTGTAAGAGAGAAAGCACAGACAGAGAGGCGTGCAAAGAGGCGTCTCTCTTTGCGAGCCTGGCCATGGGATGGATGGCAAGAGCACAGACGGGATAAGTGGGCGCAGGCGGAACGGGTGCCTGCTTCTCAGCGCCTCTGTACCCACTTATCCCAAGCCTACCTTACTTCCTGGAAGCGGTCCTCTGTAGCGGCCAGGAAAGGGAGTACTGCAGAACAACACTACTGGCGGCTGGTGTCGGGGATCCGAGTAGTCCTGCCAGCATCAGACAGACGAGACAAACCAGATAACCCAGGATACATCCACCCCTCCTCCGAAGCCCGAGAATCTACGGAGCCTCTAAAAGCCATGCAGGATCAAACAATGCCTGAAAAGTAAAGACATCGTGAGGGGCAGGAAAAGCATATATAACGTTGACGTTGTCAACCGCAGTTACCTCACCGACTGGTTGATCAGTGCGGGGGTCACGACCATCACACATGCGCCGAAGCCGTGAGATGGTGCCAGAGGCCCGAGGGGGCCCAGTGCATGATTTAGTTAAATCAACTAACTGCCTTCTTGCAAGAGTAGCGGCCACATCGTCGACAAAACATGATATTGTTTAGCCGCCTGAGCACGTGCCCACCACCAGTGGGAGAAGAGCACTGCGAACGCAATAAGTAGCTCTTGGAGACTGAACTAGCCCAACAATTCACACAACGAAAACGACCCGCTGAGGGGTCCCAGAAGTGCTCATGCAAGGCCCCAGAGGAGGCACTCGGGCCAGCGTACAGCCGAAGTTCAGGGTGACCCTGGCCCCGTTACCCGATGCGAGGAGGAGGATATGGGAGGAAGAGGCCATGAATGTTAATGGGGGTGACAGCCTCGGCACAGTCATGGACATCCCCAGCACATGGAAGGCACCGTCCCCTCAATCCCTTCCCCATCCTGCCCCATCCCCGCAGTCCCACAAGTTTGTAGAGTCTGGGCGCTCCTGGCCGCAGGGATACCTCCGTGCTGCGTGCCTGAGGAGCGTTGGGCCCCCTTGTGCACAAAAGCACCGCAATCAATGCTCACTCGAGGAGCTAGAGCAATAGTGTATTCTTTCGAATCTGGCACGCTCTGGCTTGTGCTCCTGATGAGCCCGCCGCCGCCGCCCCCTCGCCCCCCTCTCCACATTTCCTGTTCGAGCCGTGCAGGTGCTGGGAGGGCAGGGGGAGAGGCAGGGAGGGAGGGGCGGAGGAGGGGGCCCGGGGCGGACAGAGAGGAATTCGGTCTGCGCTGCTCCCATCGCACACCTTAGGCGATGCTTAAGAAAACTTAAGTTTTCGGCCAGAGTCTCGATTATTCTTATTGTTTCACTGTAAATCCTAAGTTTTTGATAGAAATGTTTTGTGTTTTGTTCAAGTTCTGAGACTATGAATTTCTTAACCCATGATGTCTTAAGCATTTCGCAGGGTGTACGCTGCTCCCATCGTACTCGAGGCTAAAGTAGGTTGGAACATGATGAAGTTCGGTCCCCCTCCCCCCCCCCCGCCAGCGGATGCCGAGCGCGCCGTCCGTCATGGATGAGGAGGGAGGGATGGGGGGAGCGGCGGGGCGGAGGGACGAAGAGGAGTGCCCTCCGGGAGATCTCTCGGGGGCATCCTGCTGAGTCAGAGGTTGAGAGACCTCCTACCCTGACATGCCGATTAGCGAATCGGCCGTTTTCGGTTCGCGAGAGGGCGTCGCGGCCGTCATTGTTGCGGGTCTGGGTCCGTCGGTTTCTGACCTGGAGGCCGTTTTCAATACATGGTGGTTTTCTAAAGGGAGGTTTGTCCACCGCCGACTGAGGGGCTCGGGGCTGCGCCGCGCCCCGAGGATGGACGGGGGCGGGGTGCGCACAGTCAATACGCCGAAACAGAGGTTTCGGCTCAGAAGGGGCCCTGTTTCCTCGGTCGATCCTCAGATTTTGGTCGGGGAACCCGTCAGTGGCCTGGGCCATTCGTATGATCGTAGCACGATGGCTGCAGGCCCAGACCTCTGCCGATGCAGGCACCCCTGCACCAGGGTCGGGAGCATCCAAGAGGGGAGAAACCCCTGGTAATGAGATCTACCCGGATGGCATGGCCCCCTCGTCTCGTCTCAACATCTCTTCTGGCCCCTCCCTTGGGCCGCGCACGTACCCCGGACCATGGCGTGCCCACAGAGGCAGCGCGTGTGCGCACACCGCGTCTGGCAGTTGGGGCAGTTTTTTTTTTTTTTTGTTTTTTGTGTTTTTATTGTTTTTTTGTTTTGTTTGTTTTGTTTTTGTTTGCAATCCTTGCTGGCCAGCTGCGTGGCTCCGGCGGCCGCCCAGGCGTCGTTCGGGCCGCCCCTCGTGCCCGCCCCGGCTCCGCGCGTGGCCCCTGCGGCTCACGGCCGCGCGCGCACAGAGCGTGGAGAGCGCTGCAGGATTCCAGGCCTCCAGGAGGGGGGTCCTCCTCCTCCTCCTCCTCCTCCTCCTCCTCCTCCTCCTCCTCCTCCTCCTCCTCCTCCTCCTCCTCCTCCTCCTCCTCTCCCCCCTCCTCCTCCTCCTCCCCCCTCCTCCCCCTCCTCCTCCTCCTCCCCCCTCCTCCCCCTCCTCCTCCTCCTCCCCCCTCCTCCCACATCGGTCAGAGGTTGGGGCAGAGGTTGGCGCCACATCGACGACGCATCGGCGATGCGGCTCGATGTGGAGCTCGAATTTCTCTGAAGCGCCGACGTCGTCGATTCATCGCCGACGTCGCTGGTGCATCGCCGACGCATGGGCGATGCGCGGACCCCATTTTGAAAGGGCCTCTGTCTGCTGGATGTCCTTGCGTAGCGCAGGGCGTGCGGTATGTCACCTGGGGCTTCGGTGCCGTCGAAGGGGGAGACTTGCGCAAACATAAACCGTCGGAGCTCCGCGTGGACTTCCTGGATCGGCGCTGGACCCCCCTGGCGGAGCCTCCGGTGCCGCCCTAGCGCGCTCCGCGAGCCAGGGAGGGAGTCCAGCGCCGATGCAGAGTTCCTTGAGTGGCTTGTTTGTTGTTGTTCCCTTATGGTTATCTTTCTGTTCCTCTATGGTTATCTTTGTGGTTATCTTTGTTTTTGTTATGGTCAGCTTTGTTTCTGTTCCGTGAGTGGCTCTGGGCGTGCGGTTGGTCGCCTGCGGGCTGATGCCGACTGTCGCATCCCTGGCTCGCTCGCTCCTGGCGTGTCTTCGGAGCTCCCACCCTCCCGCGCGAGGAGGAGGGGATGAAGGGGAGGGGAGGAGCAAGGAGGAAGAGAAGGGGAGGAGAAGACCCTCCTCCGCCAAACTACTGCCCCTCTACAATTACTCAATATGAATACTACTCTCCCTCTTCCCCTGATGACGGCTTGAAAGTATCCGACCCCCCCCCCCGCGTATGGTTTTTTTACACAGGTTTACCCGGAGTTGGGTTTTCGCCTACATTTTTCCCAAAATGCTGCTCTCGCTGAGGCGCCGGCCTCATTTTCGGGCCCCGCTCGTTCCGAATCGTGCTCCCGCTGCAGCGCTGGCATCATTTCCGCCGGCGCCCGGGCTGCACGCCCGAGCCAGCGCCCGGGCCGGCGCCCGGGCCGGGTTTGGAGCCGGTTCCGGCCGGCGCCGGAAAATCGAGTTCCGAGGCGGCGCCGAAAAGGCCATTCCAATGCACATTTTCTTGAAAAAATGCTGAATTTCTGCTTCTGGCGCCCGGGAAGCCTCCCGGGCCGATTCCGGCCGGCGCGCCCAGGCCGGCGCCCGAGCCGGCGCCCGGGCCGGACGCCCGAGACGGCGCCCGGGCTGGCGCCCGGGCCGGGTCCGGAGCAGGTTCCGGCCAGCGCCGGAAAATCGAGTTCCGAGGCGGCGCCGAAAAAAAACCATTCCAGTACACATTTTTCTTTTGAAAATTCTGAATTTCTGCTTCTGGCGCCCGGGAAGCCTCCTGGGCCGATTCCGGCGTGCTTCCGCTCGTTCCGAGTCGTGCTCCCGCTGCAGCGCTGGCCTCATTTCCGCGCTTCCGCTCGTTTCGACTCGTGCTCCCGCTGCAGCGTTGGCGTCATTTCCCGTGCCATGCCACGGCATGCAATTCAACGCTAGGTTGATACTACGCTTCGCGGTGCTCTTCTACGCCATGCCATGCCGTGCTCTACAATGCATC